GATTCTCCATTATAGGGTTTGAGGCTTACAGTGCCTCAAGCCGCATCACGAGAGGGCCATTCCTACACTGTATTTAGTAACTCTCTTCCTTGGGCAAGCCCTTGGGAGATTGAAGGCTGGCTGGCTGAAACTGTGAACTGGCAAAGATGGGCCTTTGAGGACTAGCAAAAGAAGTCACTCTTCCCTTATTCCGCCCTTATACTTTTCCAGGATCCTAGATAGCATCGTAGGCATGGTTAAGCGATTACTACAGCTCAGTCCAGCTTGATTCACAACCTGCAGCCAATGCAGAATTGGCACGCCCATCCGAGCCCCAAGACTTGAAAATTCGCCGCTGGTGATTGCTCGGACGAAGGAAGCATCCAGAGTCTAGAGGTGGACAACAAAATCGGACAGCCGGCTGATCCAATGCCATTACTTTTGACAACGTTTTACAACAGCAGTACGTGAAGCGGCAAATTCATTTCCGGCTTACTTTTGAAGACCCCCCAGGGGTGCGATGCCAAGACTACAGAACATCAATGCCTTCATCTTCCTTCTGTATACCCTAAATACCCACTGTTAGGCATATACCCGTAATTAAGGGTACAAGGAGGGTCGCGGAACTTTACAGCGGTCATCCGTCGCCATGGTGTCTCAAGAACTAGGAGCTAGTTGAAACATTGGCTTTCCATTTCATTGTCCATTATTGGGGTATACATCCCTATATTGTTCCCATATATTCACTAATTTGGGGAAGCCTCTTCTTTGCATTCGGACGGCGGGCTAGCGTTGGCCAGTTGATGGCGGCAATTGGGCAAGAGCTTTCTTATATGAAGCCCGCTTGGCCGTTGCCGGTGTGCGCGATGACAACGTTTGGACAGAAGGCAAAGAGGGCAAAGTGCCCAGGTTCTCATTGGTCCTCCTAGTCGAAGCCTTCAGCGAACAGAAACATGTTCAACGGGGTGCTGCATGTATGCACTGTGTGGATCTTCTCGGTCAATATGGCACCAACAGAACGCATGTGGAGAGAGAGAGTTTGCAGTGGCTGTCCACGCATGGAGGTTGATGGAACCCCCCCACCATCCCGGCTACAATCTGTGTATCATGGAGCCAGACATCAATTGTACTCGTGAACTGTGAGTGCTTGCCCGACTTGGTAGTTTGCACCCGGCGCGCTTGGGTTTTGATTCGCCAAGCTGCTTCTGAAGGAGCCGTTTGTCCAATGAGACTTGAAACCCACATGTGAACACTTGGGCTTTGGTGACAACTCTTGTCAGGCGCTATACGCCAGCAATACCCTGTGCCACTTAGACGTGATGGCATACACTGGAACCTTGAAGAACATTATGGATGGAAAAGGCTTCCACTTTACCGAGAACTCTGTTGGCCCCGGCGACGTTTCGGTCCACTTCTCGCAGCTAACGAATGGCGGCTTCGATGACATCACTGTGGGCGCCGAGATGAGCTTTCACACAGAGGAAGACATGCGAAGTGGCAAACCAAGGCACCAACGAGACCCAAAAGGGTGGCGGCAGGGCAGGGGCTATGGCGGCCATGACTTTGGCAAGGGTAGGACAAGATCCACCCCTGTACTAAGTGCATGCCTGCATGCCCTTGCAGACCCTGAATTCGGCATCAGAACAGCCAGTCAGAAGTCTTCTAAAGAGCGTCCTGGTCAGCAAAAATGCTGCAGTGGTGCACCGTGACATGCAATGGAGCTAACAGTTCTTGCCACACGGTGATTTTTAAACTTCTTCTTCGCAAAATGACATGCTGGATTGGGAGGCGTGATGAGGATGCCTGGAGAGAGTTCTTGTCCGGGCGTGGTTTGTGGACGAAAGTCGCCCAGGCCATTAGCAAGACGCGGAGCGGAAATCCGAGTAAGAAGCATGCGGCTGGTGAGATGCCCCATCAGTGGTTCCACTATCGATAGGCATGCGAATCAGGCTAAGGTCCCATGGTGCAAGTTCTGTGTGTGTGAGTGCGTGCAAAGCAAACCATACAAGCAGAGCACTAACAATCAAGCGCAGGCTGCCAGAAGAAACAATTCTCTGCAGTGCCGCAGTCAGAAAGACACATTCCCATTAATGGGTTTTGTTGCCAACCTATTTGTTCAGGGTTGTTGTGTGAGCTAGACTGGAGCCTTAAGACAGACATGTAGGCAGAAGCCCAGGCAAGGAAAGGGTTTCCTCAAGGTCTTTGTAGGGCAACATTGGACGAGGACATGATATTTCTCAGAGCTAGGGTCGTTTGCAGTTCTCCGTCAATAGAAACTTAGCTAAGCTACTGATGATCACTCGAACCGGGGCCCTGGAGTGCCAAAAGCCTCCGCACATCGTTTCTATCTTTCGGGTTAGACAGCCGTTCTGACCTCCTGCAGCCCTCACGGAAGGGATGCGCAAAGGGGTTTTAGCAGTATCCTGCTCCTGTTCAGTTCCAAGTGCCGCAGTCACCTTCATTCAGAACCCGCAGAATTAGCCCAAGAAAGCCCTGAACCTGAAACAGATTACGCAAGTGATCATAAGCTCACTTGGCCCCACCCCTTGTCAAATAGTGGTTTATATGGATGTACATACTACATTCCCAAAAGATGGATTCACTGCAGGCTTCGAAGTTGTCAGAAGGTAGCCCAAAACCAAGAGGCGCTCAACCCTAAGTGCTGGAGCGAGCGGAGCCGGGGCAAGCCATGTGTTATGCCGCACTACACGTGCACACAGTCAAAGCGAACCTTTTCACAACATAGATACATACATACATATATATATATATATTCACATATGTGTGTATTTGTAGGTGTTATTCACTTTTCGGGTGCACCCTACAAGGATCAGTGAATTAGTAGAATCGACTGACAACAAGGTGAAGCTTTTGACGGAGTGGGCCATGCCCGAGTTCGGCGAGTTTGAGTGCGACTATATCACCAGCCGCTTATCCTCAGTGAGGTTTAGGGTTGAGGGTTTAGAGTTTAGAGTTGGTGTTTGTTGTTTAGCCTGGAACCCAGTATAGACATGGAAACTCTGGTCTGTGCAAAGTCAAACCTTTTGTGAGGTCCGTTTATTCTACGGGGGAGGGTAAAGTGTCAGCTCGCTGGGTTCAGGCAATCTGCTTAGAGAGCCACATGACATGTTTTTGGGCACATGGGAAAAAGGGGTCGGGCTTGAGGTTTAGGGTCCAGGGTTAAGGGCTTCAGCTCCAGGGTTTAGGGTCCCTTTTTTGGCCCGGGGGCGGGCTCCTTATACTTATTGCAGTAAGGCAGTAAATGGCCCCTTTTTACAGCATTCTTTGATTCAATTTCATGTTGAGTACCTTGAACCTGAGTGAACCCATGCATACTCATGTGGGCTGCTTATACCCACACTACGGCAGCTTAATGTAAGCTATGAAGGGGTCCCTACCCACACTACGGCAGCTTAATGTAAGCTATGAAGGGGTCCCTACCCCCTTAAAAACTACGTGTTTAGGTTTTAGGGAAAACCCCAAGTCCAAAGGCCCGAACAGCCTCTAACCCTGGAAGCGTAAGTAGTCCTACAAACGCCATGAATCCTACGAGCCATGTAAATCTCTACTGTAACCCCTTCCAAAACCCGCATCGCCGTCAGCTTCAAGGCCAGAAACCCTGCAAACCCGACAGTTCATTGCATGTAGATGTGTATCCCAAAATAACCCTTACTCTACACATCCCTAGAAAACCCTGAAACTACAAAGCCCTAAAACCCTAAATCCTACAGGTTGAACCCTAACCCCTGAAATTCTAGAATCCAAGCCCTCCAAATGTACCTAACACCCCTGAAGCCTAAACCTATATAACACCCAGCCAATGCCATTCCTCAAACCCTTGGAGCCCTGCATACATCTTACGAAAACTTTCAAAAAGCGTAAGAGCCCAGTATAATTCTCTATAAAGCCTTGAACCCTAAATCCCAAATCCCCAAACACTGAACTTGAAACCCTAATCCCTAGATCCACTGACCCCTAAATCCCTAAAACCCTGTAACTCTAAACCCTAAACCCCTAAACCCCTAAACCCTAAACCCCTAAACCCTAAACCCCTAAACCGCCCAAATGAAGGCTATCATCCCAAGCAGGGATCCAAGCCGTTGAGTGACACGCTTTGGGAGGTGGGTGGCTCTGGTTTTAGGGAGAAGGAATTAGGGTTAAGTGGGGTTTAGGGTTCGAGGCTTAGGGTTCAGGGTAGGGTTTAGGGTTTCAGGGTTGTTTCGAGTTTGGGTTCGGGATTTACGGGTTTCGGTTTTAGGGTTAGACCGGTTCAATCCTTAATGAATGAAAGCATGATCCCCCTATATCCTGTATACTGCTTTCGGGTTCCTAGACACGGCGCGAGCTTTGATGCCATCAGTTCAATGCCGTCATGTCTTTTCTACTAGACACGTGAGAAGGTCCCCAACATCCTGCATCTTAACCCAGACCCCTGATTCATCAAGCCCCTCCCCTTCATAGGGATTGTAATAGGGAATATTACGGCTCTTAAAAGGAGGGTGTTTATTAATCAGGGGTCTACATTAGGGTGTAGGGGATACAGTCTGGTGCAAGGGTTTCCCCATGCGCAGTCTCAATAATCATAAAGGCAGCCTTTCTTCACGGGACAGACTTCAGATTCACGGTTCCTTTGAGACCTGATATCAACTAGATAGTTTAAGTCAAGAGGGGGTCATATCGGGGATCATGTAGGGGAGTATTCTAGGCGTTACTAAGGGGTATGCTAGGAGTTTAGACTAAAGGATTATTAAGGGGGATACTAGGATCACTAGGAGTTTGGACAGTGGCTCATATGTTTCGGTTCCAAGGCAGCCTGAGAGTGAGCTTTTCGCATTAGTGCGGTACCCTTACGCAGACCCCAAGGGTTTAGGGTAGGGTTTCGGGTTGAAGGTAGAACACCGCCAATTTCAGTACCCTATGCTAGTATTGCGGAATTTGTAAGGGCCCTCAAAAAGACTTATTTGTTAACCAATCCTCCCAGGGATGTGGGTAGTGTCAGCAACGAACTCCCTGGGCAGTCTGTGATGATGGCCATCTACGACTCGCCCTGCCGCCCGGAAGATCGGCTGAAGGTCTTGAAGACCATCTCTCACCAGATCTTCCTGAGCTCCTCCTCGGCACGTTCAGGGGTCGAGCATTCAGAGCTTAGGTTCTTGGCTTTGGAAGGGCTACGACTGGGGTGGACGCGTGACGCGAGGGGAAGCGCGAGGTTGAAATCCTGGCTCTAAGTAAGAAGTTTTGTAGGGATCAGTGAGTGCTGCTGTGGTTTGGTGTAGCAGAGTGCTTCAGGAGCACCATCCTTGACGAGGCCAAGTTGGGTTCCCATGATTCCAGCACATTTGATTTTCACAAAATGCAAGAGTGAGTCCATGAAAGCAAAAACTACCGCAAGCACTCTGTAGTGCATGTAAGGAACTGCAGGAACACATGCTTGGATTCGCTATGGAGCTCCATGAGGGCTACTTCCAAGTCCTTTACTCCCGACTCATTAGGAAAATTGCAGACCTTAAGCCCTAAAGCCCTAATATACCATAATATGCTATAGTAAACTAGAATATACTATAATATACCATGATATATATATATATCATAATATACCATAAATGGATTATGATATATTATAACATACCCTAAACCCTTAGCCCAGGCTCGCTTCATATCCGTCAGATGGTGGGCTTCTTCCGCAATGACGAGGATCGCGAAGAAGCGCTCGTGATGTTCTGGCCCAGGCACATCTGGAAGCTTACTTTTTGCTATAAGCTTTCTTTCTGGCCGATCCTTTTGTGTGCACAAATATGTACATATGTAGACATACAGTCCCATGCATGTGCATCAACCATGCATCTAAGCGCCACACCAGAAACGAGTGCGCAAAGAATATTTGAACTACAACGTCTTAGGGCTACGGCTACAGGGGAGCATCTATGGGCGCCTGCTCTCCTCAACGATAGATTGTTCGCGCGATGTTTCCTTTGTGACTTCTGTCTCCTCTCCTTATGTAAATATAGCTCTGAGAGCTATGTCCCACGGCATTGCAGGACAGCCTGATCTTTCGCTCAAGCAACTATCCAATTACGAGTCCCCGCAACGAGGGACGTGTGCACGCACAAATTCATCTAATCTAGTCCATACCTAAGTAGGGCTTAGACCTTAGCCCAGGCATGACCAGCTGCGATGTCAGTATTTCACAACATAACGGCTATAGAATCTCTAGTGAACCCTCAAATATCCCCAATTTTGATCAACTCCCATGTGAGGGTTGTTGACAAGTACAACGCGAAAGTCTTCCGCGTCCGCTTCGAGAAGCAAGAAGATGTGGTGAGGCTTCAGGACGGCTTAGACACGGTTTAGGGTTAAAGTTTCCATTTCTGGGGTTTTGGAATCAGGGTGTCAGGTTTAGGGTTTAAGGTTTAGGGTTAAAGGTTCAAGGTTTAGGGCTTTGGATTCAGGGTCGAAGGTTTAGGGTGTAAGGTATATGGTTTAGGGTTCCAATCCCCAGAAGCCCAGCTACCTGAACCACCCTCCTCGCCCTACCCCCCTTGACATTGACATATTTCCAATATGGAAGATCAGGTGTGCACATATATATATATATTCATACTTGCATATGTATATATATATATGGAATATAATGTACAGGTAATATTTGATGTTGGGGGGGGGGGGCGGGTGGCTCAATATTGGGGAGAAGATTATAGGCGACCACTAGTAGGCTACTGGGACGTAAGTGCTGTAATATACCTCCATATAGGGACTAGGAGGCAGTAAGCCACTATGTAGCTATCTGGGTTTCTAGGGGATGATCACCTCCTCGCGAATTTCCAAAACGGCTTATCATGGACATGTTGAGTGTGGTGGCGGTGGCACTATGTATGTGAGTGTATACTTATATATAATATGTATATGTACATATTAAATATATATATATATATGGGGACACCTTTCCTAAAGGTATATTGGAGAGGTGGCGGGTGCTCATTACTAGGGGGAGGGGATCGCTTGCTGATCTTGTCCCCTCGCTGCGGTCATGGTACAGAATATTGTCAACACAAATGTCAAGCTCATATTGTTGCTATCCAACGTGTACTGGGTCTTGGTCTGCTGTTAGGATCAGTGCTATTTTTTTTTACTTACTAGTACAGCCCTGAAACCCTTAAACCCTAGTCCCTAACCCCGAAGCGCTGAATGGTAGCTTCCAAACATAGGGTGACCCCAAAATAGGCCATAAACTATCATAGTCCTTATCATTGGAAGCCCCCACAAAGGAACCACTAATTCCTGGAAACACCCAAACCCCAAACTGCTTGGTCTCTGCTTGTTAGAGGAGCGCCTGGGCTACGTCACCTTTTTTCCATACTTCCAGCCCGAGCTGCTTGGACCCAGGAAGTGTAGGCCGTCTCAATCATATTTCACACAGCTCACTAAAGTCTCAAGTGCTCCCTATAGTAGACAAAGCAAGTTGGTCAGCATTTTGATAACTTGGTATGGTGTCGAGTATGGGAAGGGAAGAATGCTAACCCTGAACTAAAAATCCTAAATCCCTGAACGCTGTACCCTAAACCTTACATCTTAAACCCTAAGCCCAAACCCTAAACCCTGAACACTAAACCTTAAATACTAACCCTACACCCTAAATAGTAGTTTCCAGTCTCTGTTCCATGATCCCTACGACCCCTATAGAACCCCTGGATAACCCCAACCCTGAAACCCTTAACCCTAAACTCCTGCAGCCGGGCAGGACGGGACTTATAATTAGGCTTTGGAGACGGCAGAGGCTTGAAGTGAGAGGTTTAGGGTTTAGGGTTTGGGAATTCACAAAAACGGATTAACCGTGAACCTTGTTTTTGGTTTATAGGGTTTAGGGTGTATAGGCTTTATAGGGTTCAGGGCTTGGGGTTTAGGGCTATGGGGGTCGGAGGACAACAGGGATCGAACCGTGCACCCTCCACACTCTACAGTCCTACACCCCAAAACCTCTGAATCTTCATTCATTGAAGCCCTTTCTCCTGGGTTGCTGTTAAGGAATTTTAACTTTATTGGTACATATAAATATATATATAGGAAATGATAAGGTTTCCCAAATATAATAACTTAAGTTCCTTAACAGCAGCCCAGTCTCAGGAATGCAGTCTTCCGGCTGAACATGGCCGTCTACGAGCAACGACTGTCGGCCTGTCTTTTCGTGCCTTGGCCACGGGCGTGGTAGCAAGGTTTGGGGGTTAAGGGGTAGTTAAAGCATTTCGAGCCTTTGAGTTATATTGGGGTTATATTAGGATTGTATTCGGCTTATCTTGGGGTTATATGGGTTTATATTAGGACTGTTACTGTCATCCAGCTTTATTGGGACTTTGCCAAAATTAGGCAGCTTTAGCGGGACTTTGCCAAAATTAGGTGGAACACGAGTCCCTCAGTCTCAGTGTCATTTTTCGTTGTAGAGCTGGAAAACTACGCAAGCTTCCTTCATCCTCCCCATCCTTCTCCTCATCATCCTCATCCCGTTGTTTCCTGCTCTGTCGCTGGGTCGTGATTCTAGCAGCGGTCCTAGCAACGGGGAGATGGAGTAGAAATAGACCTGAGGGTGAGGGCAGCAGAAAGAGTAGCAGCAGCAGAAATTACAAAAAGATGAGACGGAAGTAACATTCGGACCTCCGGGAGGGCCAACATGAAGGAAGGGAGCATAAGGAGCCGCAGCAGCATCAAGCAGTGATGGTGATATTCGGCAAGTCGATCATTGCCTGAACGACACGAGGAGCCCTTGCCAGCTTGCAGATGGACTCAAGCACTGAGGCATAGAATAGTGAAGGTTTCGGAAGGTCCGGGGCCAGCGCATGTCTAATCATTGGACAGGATTGGTAGGAGAGCTTCTTTCTACTTCAAATAAGCCCCTCCCCTGATATGAACCCTCCAGTGTATCATGTTCTCATGGTGGCGAACTATAAGTTGTTGGGCACATGTACTACTGGGAGGGTGGGGTGCGGTTTAATATTAGGGGGATACTTCTTATGCAGCCACTCTAGTATAAAACTAGTTTCATTTCATGTTTTCCATTTTCAATTGGTTCTCCATTGTCAGAGAGAGGATCATGGTGGAGAGGGGCCTAAACCCGAAACCTCTAATTCCTTACAAGGGAGCTAGGTGGATCTTGGGGGGTGGAGGGTTGATCTTGAGGGGAGGGGATTAAGTCATACCCAAGAACTTGCACTAGTCCCTAACGTGACGACCAACATCCGCCACCATTGGCATCTTGATCAGTTGACATGAGCCATGGTCTTAACTCCTTTAAGGTAGCGTTATAGGGGTTACTAAGGGGGATACTAGGTTTATATCAGGTGAGCTATGCTCTTAACTCCTTGAGGTCGGGTTATACAGGGGATAATAGAAGGGAGTATTCTTTGCGTAACTAAAGGGGATGCTAGGAGTTTAGACATTGGCTTACATCCATCCACACACCGAACCTACTTGGAGGGTCAGGGGGATTTAGGAAGTGGGTCAATAATGAGGATAAGTCGCGGCTATGTTATGGCTCATACGGATTCTCAGTAGGCTTACCAAGTCCCCATGACACTCCAAGTAATGAGCTCCAAGTCCTATCGGATGCTTCAGCTCCCGACGTCTTTGGAGGGGTGCTCATCAACCCCTTGAATCCCCGCATAATTATGATGCAGTCAGCAATAGATGCGAACACTTGTGATGTCGAAATGTTGAGACATTCTGTTTATTCGCAAAGTTAGGCTTCCCTAAATGGCCGCCAGCAAAAGTTATTGGTTTGTTAATGTCCGAATTCGTGTCACGTACTCGGGAGCGTCCTGAAGGTACACCCCCCCGCAATTCTGAGAGCTCCATGCGAATCTTTTTAGCCCCGCAACCTGAAAGTGTCGCAAGGTGCAGCTTATGCTCAAAGAGATGCCAGGGAATATCAAGGAGATCCATACCTAAATAGTCGGTTTTGGGTTTAGCGCTGTAGGAACTGAAGCCCAACAGAGGGGTGAAGGGTTGTAGGATTTAGGGTTAATGTGAGAGTCTTCAACGCCAGATGTAAACAAGGAATTGGAATTCAGTGTTGTCGAGTTCACAGGGGCAGGTTTTCCAGTGCAGGTTTAGGCTTGGCCTTGAATTATAGTACCCCCTAAGCTCCAGGCCTCAAATACCTTAAGTGCTAAGTGACCTTAGATCTGAAACCTCTGATTGCTACTTCAAGGTTGAGAGCCATCGTAACCTCCTTACTGCACTTTGAGCTGGATTGTTATTTGTAAGCCCCAAACTCTTTTGACATGGTCGTAAATAGGTTATGATTATATTCATAGTTGGGTTCCTTCGGTTAGAACTACATTCCAGGAATTCGAGGCCTCAGAATTGGGTTCTCAGGCGGCTAGAAGTGCCCTGAACCTCCACGTAGCTTCCTTGCAGATGGAGTTCGGGTTAAGGGTTTAGGTAATGCTGATAAGGCAGCCCTTCTCATTCCCAGTTTACTGCGTAACTCAGCCACCTGGCCTTTTGGGTCTCAGTTTGAATAAGGGGACATTGGTAACCCAAGCTAGCTAAATTGGGATACTAGGACTATCTTTTCCTTACGGTATTGGATTTTCAATCTTTGGTTCATCCTTGAAGTAGCCCTTCCCTCTCCCACCAACAAGGACACATTTTCCTTATCGTTGGGTGTGGCGGGAACGTTCGTCCTGAGCTAGTTTTGTTACCTAGGGCCTATAGTTCAGGTGCAGCGATATGGGAGTTGCTGTCAAGTCTTAGTGTTGCCCTATGGGTACCCGTAGCTCAGTCAGCATTACCGGGACTAAGAAGGTGCCAGAATTTAGACAGCTGCGCGTCACATCTAGAAAGTTGGCGCTCGCATTAAAATTCGTTCAATATCGATACTTCTCCGGTGCGCAGCCCCTATGCAGGCAGGGTGTGAAGTTTGGCAAGTTGGTTCAGAACTATAACATTTCTCGCTAACCGCTGCATATCCCTATGTAGCTATAAATCCCCATCTGACCGGGATATGTGACCCCATGTATCCCCATACGAGCTATAGTCTAAACTCCTAGCATCCCCCTTAATAACCCCCAGAGTAGTCGCATATATAATCCCCTCTGTAATCCCCTTAAGGAGTCTAGACCCTAAACCCTGAACCCTAACTCCCTTATATAGACCATATCCCCATAGCCAGCCCATGTAGCCCCGCAATTCGCTGGGCTCAGAGGACCCCATGTACGAGAAGCCCGACGGCGGGGTGCAAAAGGTTTAGGGGTTTAGGGTTTAGAGTTCAGGCTTCAGGCTTCAGGGGGCTCTCCAAACATGGGCGGTACTTTTTTAGGGGGTCCCCATAATGAGGGCTAATTATAATGTTTTGGTGTCTATATTGTAAACAAGGGTCCCCTTGTTTAGGGTTTAAGGGACCCCCCCATAACTTCTAAGGGTTGCAGTTTGGGGCTTCGCGGGTCGATGGAAGGATCCTTATGTGTGTAGGGTGCCTGGGCTCCTGAACTTGGCCTTGTTTGAGCCAATTCTGTGGGTTGGGACTTCGGGGCTTGGGTTGGAGAGTTTGGTGTTTCTGGATTGGGCTTTCAGGATTTGTGGATTCGATCTTGGAGTTTGGGGCTAGGGCCAGAGGCCAGACGGGTTAGTTGCTGGAAGCCTACCAGGTTACAAGGACAACCTGAACTACCCATTGCCTGGAGTAATTAGTGCACCTTGAGGTCAGGGCTGGTGCCTTGTAGGGTTCTGTACCCTTTGGGGGGTGGAATTGAGGTTGCGGACGCATGACTCCTCAGTCTTGGCCTTGGCCAGTATATAGTTTGCCCTACTTGAGCAACTCACCCTGCTTCATGAGGGGATTGTTTAAGATAGTTCCAAGTGCTAGACCCTCAAAGGACAAGAGCTTGAAAGCTACGAGCTGCTACGTGTGTTGTCTTCGCATAGTTTAGATTGAGGTTTCTACATATAAGTTAACCGCAAATGAGTAGTATTCTATTTGGGGATACTATGGTACCCATTATAGAGTAAGATTCTATCCTCCTTTTGGGATATAGTATTTTATATAAGGAATATTATCTTACTAGGTTCAACCACCAAAAAAACACTGCTCAAATGGCAGTCTGTCGCTACACGGCCTTACAGTACATTTTTCAATCACAGGTTTAGGGTTTGAACCCTATAAACCCTTGCAGCCTCAACCTTTGGCTAAGGTCGTGCTGCTTTGATTCCTTTTTGCAACCACTTCATGCCTGATGTTCCTTGAGTGGTAGTTTGGCAACAGTCACGATGCAAAGTGTATACTCGAAAGGTAGCAACCTCCTTACAGGGACACCCCAAAATAGGGCTGCCTTTTTAGGGGGGCAAAGCCCTCGCATCCCCACAAGATACAGGCACATTGGACAATCTGACCATGGGCGTCCCGCGCTCGTGGGCCGAGCTGGGTGCTAAGCAATCATGATCCAGATCATGGGTGTCAGCTTTGTAGCTGTTTGGAGACTTTTTGAAGGGATTACAGGGACAGGTAGGGTTGGGTTCCGGGGGCTTGGCAGCAAGTAGGCTCTTAGTGGAGTCATAAGTTGCCTAATTGGGATTGCTCTGCTCAAAACCCCGGTCATAACCTACTCACTAGGTCCTCTAAGCTTCTTAGTAGGGCATTTCCCCCACCACCAAAAGCCCGCCCTCTTGGCGCCATGTCCTCTATTCTTGTGGTCTACATGTGTTCTATATTGTAGATATATACCTAAAAAGTTCCCTACAGCCAAGGGCTCTGTAGGGTTCAGGCACAGTGAGTATACCCAAGCCCCCAAACCCTATGTGATGAAGGAACCAGGGGATTTACATTCTAGCTTCACTCGGATCTCTCCGCAACCCCACTGTAGATCCCGAAGAACTATGTTACTACTTCTGTTCCCATTTCTGTTCGTTCTATGAGACACATAGGGTTTAGGGTTTAGGGCAGACACATTGTTACCATGAGCTATGTTACCACTAAATCGCTATCGCTGCCGCGCGTGGCTCAAACAGATGGAGCTGGCCTGCCGAAAGTTGCAGGCGGCTCCTGCTCCTCGACCATACACCTTGGGTAGTGGTTTAGGGTTTAGGGTTTAAGGTGTATAATGTACCAACCAGAACCCTCCTTGTACCCTTAAATAGGGGTACTGTATATGGTCCCTAATAGTGGGTATTTTGGGTTCAGGGCATACTTTGTTGGTAATTTAACTATCTAAGGATTAG